GGGAAGGGATCACCCAGCGGGATCCCCGGAGCTCCGGCAGACCTGTGGGATGTGCTGCCAGATGTTTGCCAGAGAGGAGAAGTCGTGCTGCTGTCCAGACCTTTCTGAATGTTGATGCAACAGTTGACTACTACGGTACAATTTTGTGTTATTTGTTGGATGACTTTGCATGTTAACTGTAGGCCTAAATAGATTTGCCTTTAAAATTTTTAGAAGTGCTTCATAATTATTTCAATGATAAATGATTTTTATTTATTAATGATTAGTTCTTTTTAATTATGTATGATACAAAAGCCATGTTTTTCAAGTTTGGTTGTTTTTTTTTTCTTACTGACCTCATTTTACGGTATCTTTAAGGAACCACAAAGCCAACTTTGTGAAAACGCAGTTTCTTTCTTATGATGGAGTTTCATAGTTGATAAATTAATTGTTATTTATTGTAGTAAATTATAACCAAACATCTAAACCTGGCAGGAGCTGTTGCTTAAAGATCTTCCTCTGGGAGAAAAGAGTTGCCAATAATAAAGAAGCTCCTTTAGTTCTGCCCTTAAAAACTTAAAAGAATATTTGAAGGGAGAGAAGCAATTTAAACAAAAAAAAAAAAAAAAAAGGAGATAAATATGAACTGGAGCATTGAATAGATGTTCTCNAAAAAAAAAAAAAAAAAAAAAGGGAGATAAATATGAACTGGAGCATTGAATAGATGTTCTCACATCTGTGTGTCTTACTCCCCCCGCTCTGCTTTCTCTTCTCAACCCTGTTTGCACATTTTAAGAGGGCACTACAGAAAATGTGTTTGGCTCCCGCCGCCCCCGCCGCAAACACGCTCCCGGTGCCCACCCGGCCGAGAGCAGCACCCACAGCCTTCCAGGGGGTCTGTTTTGTAGTCTTGACAACTCAGGAAAACCGGCTGCACCAGTCCAGGCAATGGCATACAGGCACAACTGTAGTACTAGCCACAAAAGTTAAACTTTTTTAACCATCTTTGAATAAAAAAAAATTTAAAAAAAAGAGGGTTGGTGGGGGGTTTTTTTTCTTCAATATTCAGCACATTTTAGGCTGTGCAAGTGAAGAATTTTCTGCAACTTTCTTATCATTAGATACTTTAAAACAGTGTTCATCAAGTTTACTGAAAGTTTTGTCGATTTCAAAGGTTTTTTTTTTTGTGAACACCAGCTACTGGTGAGACAAATGCACATGCAAGTTAAATAAATTAATTAATAAACACTTCAAGTTTCAGTGTGGTTTTTCCCCCTGTGCCTTTTTGCTGTTTTATAAATTTGACTCAGTCCCACAGTACTGGGCCAAGCAAATATGAAAAAAGTTTTCCTTCACCCAAAATTAAGGGGAAAAAAAAAAAAGACTTACCCAAGAACATCAGGCTTAAATTTAGAAGAATAGTAGACAAATAGGCATTTCAAACCAAGATGCTGTGATTTCACCATTCTGAGAGCCCCCCCAAACATACCCATATACACACACACACTTACGTTAGAAAAATAAACAATTCTCCTCCAAACACAGAAAAAATCCACACCCATGTTTCAACACGAGTTGGCAATGCCAGCACTTGAATAAAACACCCAGACTGTGGTCAGTCAGACAGTACAGAGCATTTTGAGAAGTGATGAGCACACCCACACACCTCTGCAAGATGAAGTTCTCCAGAAGGACTTGTCCCTCTTGGAACATTTCCACCTTGCTTTTCCTGCCTCTTAAATAATCCCTTTTTTTTTGGCCTTACACATCCTTAATTTTTGGCTTACAACCATTCAGCTCTCACACCTACTGACAACGTTCCTCCCAGTTTCCCCAGCAGCACCAGTCAGCTGATGAAGCTACAATGTTATTTGCCACCTCCAAGTCTTATAAGTGAGGTTTTTGTGTTACTCTTGATTACTTTTGGTTGCTGACATCAGTAAATATTTCAAGATATGTTAGCCATCGCCTAAAAAAAAACCAAAACACCCCAAACAAACAAACAAGAAATCTTAACTTCGGCTGTTTCACCCTCAGCACTTCAAATAAAGCCAGAGCTGGGCAAAAATCAGGGAATAACCACGGTCTGTTACCTTGGGCTGCACAGTTGACTGAAGCTGATGCCGAGCTCCACGTATGTCCAGGTACTCCAGGGAGTTTATTCCCACCTGGCACTAAGGAATGATGGCTTTTTCTGAGGTCACAGTTCTAAAAGCATTCACAAATCCCCATCATTTCAGTAGCAGAGGCCAGGACATTTGCTGGCTGTGTAAGTCCCCTCCTCAGCAATACATCAATACTTTATAATTAAAGTTCTAATCATAAGTACTTGGTAAGTCATTAGCAGCTGCTTTAGTAAGTGCCTAATTATTACAGGTCCTTAAAGAGCTCAGTAGGGTGATAAGTTTCTTATATTTATCCACCATGAACTGGTGTGTTCATAAACATCTATATAAAGCAAAGCATTCAATTTGCAGCTAGCCCATAATAAGCCATCAGTGAATGAAAGATAAATATTAAATCACAATAAAGTGCTGCCATCCTCAAGGTGCTGCTGTAGCTTGAATGGGCAGGAGGGAAGCTGGACAGCTGTTTTAACCTCATAAATAATTTTTTCATAAATAGGCTTGAAAAGCCTTAAGCAATGGAAAATTCAGATCAAATTCAGTAAATATTAACAAAAGGATGGAAAAGATTAAAATATTCAAAGGGTTTTCACCCAACATCCTAAATAACTTTCTTTATACAACATACATCAGTCTGGGGCACAAACTGCCAGTGAGCTGAAATTATTGTTTCTATTTCCTTTCTTCCCCCAATAGAGAGGGAAAAACATTTCAATCCAACAAAAAAATTATTTGCTATCAATTCAGAAAACAAACAAAAATAATTACTGTATTCATGCAACTGATAGCTTACAGACACACTCCACCTGAAAGCAATGCCAGGAGCTTCCTAAGGGGAAACCTCCATTATCTGACATGAAAAGCAACAAAAGTTGAGGTTTGTAGGCAGAGGGTCACAGGAGCTGCACCAGTTTTTTGGGGGGGTCAGCCCTACTTCAGTGCACTGGCCAGGGCTCAAGCAGCAGGATCAGGCAAGGACAGCTTCCTGTGAGCTGCCCTGCTGTGACCACCCCGACAGGGTCACTGCAGGGTGAATTAAAATCAGTTTGCAGAGTCGACCATAAATTAGCATTTTTTCCACCTTAACCACATGTTGAGATGTTTGAGAGCATCTCCCAGTTACACCAGGCGGGTCTCGCTCACCTTCTGCAGGGGGAGAAGCAACGACGTGACGCACAAGGGCTAAAGGCTAAAACCCACCAGCAGCTTTAGCTGAGCAAGGCACAAACTCTCAAACCACCCTGGGGATATGATGCCCAGCCAGCAGCTCCATCCCTCGGCCACTGCCTCTCCTACAGTGACGCTTGGCAGCTCAGCCGAGCCCCAGGTTTCGCTGCCTTCAAACACGGGGCCATCCCAATATCCTGCTCCTGCAGCCACCCGGCCACAATGTGCTGTTCGGGAGACAAACGACCATGGAGGGGCTCCTCTGGCATCTGCAGTTCAGCTGTTTGCTTCCTTTTTTTTTTTATCCCATTATTCTTTTGGATGTCAAATACAGGAGCAGATGTGCCAGGCTGATGGGAGCTGGCTGGGAGAGCCTTTCTGGCTGGAGGGCAGACAAGGGTGAGGCAGGACAAAGCTGATAACTGTGGCTCCTCTCTACTGGGGATGAACCTTTAATCCTTTTATTCACCCTCCTGCTACCTCTGGCTTTTCCTAACTGCCTCTAAAACAACCTTTTTTTAATAATCAGCTCATTGTAGGCAGTGGCACTTGGTCAGCTAAAACCTGCCCAGAACACTTTCACCAGAGTGTTGAAAGAAAAGGGCAAAGCCACAAGCACCAATAGCACAATAATTTTGCTTCTTAAATCCAAATGAGAAAAAAAAAAGCCAAGCATAATATATAGGAATGAGACCAGGAGTAAGACAAGACTAAAGGAAGGCTCGTGCTGCATCCACCTTCAACAAAAAAACCTGTAAATTTTGGAGGAGGCTACAGCATTAAAAGCCAGTGAAGTTTCTCCTCTTACATTTCACAGCATTGAAATTACTATTTTTTTTGATCATTATTTGGGTTTAAGCAGAAGGAGGACAGTCTGTCTGAGTCACTGCTTGGATCAAACCAGCTTAAAGAACGAGAAAGTATTTTGCATACCCTGAGTTAACTCAAGGCCTGGACTAACTCCTGCTGAGGGAAGTCAAAGGCTTCACTGGAAACTGGACAGTACCAGATTGAAACACCATTGCCCACAAAACATGTAAGAAAAGCAACCAAGAGATTAGAGTAATATTAAAAATAACCAACAAATCACAGAATACTGAACCACCACCGTATCTTCACCAAACCATCTGCTCCAAAACTCCTGCTAGAATAAATCCTACATTTAACATCCACTCAGCAAGAGGTATTTTTGCACCAATTCCATGAGGTATCATGGAGTTAGGACAAAGCATTACATCATTTCAAAAGAAGAAGGCAAATCAAGTTATTATGTATGTACATGTTTTAATTAATTTTAAAAATTGTCTACATTTAAGGATAGATTTCGAGGACTCCCTTATATTTTTTTCTGTTACATTAGATTATACCTGAATAATCTGCATAGTAACTTGAACATTACTGTTTTCTTCTTTTTTTTTTTGTTTTGTTGTGAAAATATCAGTTGCAGGTAGCAATGTAACATCTCAACAACAATCACAATACGTGCAGGATGTCCAGCCAGAAGCATTTCTCAGTTGACTTGCATTAGCACGGCACTTTATAATTTGTGTATCAATACTTTTTTTTTTTTAACTTTTTTTTTTTTAAAGTTGAGTTCAGATGTGGCTCAAGAAGCAAAAACAAACTTTCTTCACTCGATCTCAAGTGTGGGGTCAGCTCCACAGCTGACTGTGATCTGCTCCACTGGAGTTACTCCAATTAATATCAGCTCCAGGTTCTGACCTTTAATTTTTTTTTTTTTTCAAAACACACCTGTATTTGCCCCCATGCTGTCCTTAACATGGGTGCAAACTTAGGAATGTGGTTTGAGGAGTCCCTTCATTAAAGGGCCTGAATGAAGGGACTCTGTCCCTCAGCCCTGCTCCCTGCATGGACAGGAGCAGAGAGGGCTCGACACTTCCCAGAGCAGCGCAGGGGGGAGGTTTAAAAAAAAAAAAAGAACAAAAAAACCCTAATTTTGCTCCCAATGTTAAACTTTGACATGTGAAGCATTTCTGTTTCCAGATGATCAGCCCAGCTGCTTAAGAAGGTATTCAAACCACCTACTGCCACAGACACCTCACATCAGACACCGAGTCCTCTTACAGACTCTGCCCTGACTGAGTGAAGGCCCGGCCCTGACCTGCGTGTCCCCATGAAATGCTCACCATGAGGTGCTGTGAATACCATCTCTTGCCCCCCCCGAACCTTTCCTCACCCACAGGAAAAAAAGTGCTTTTGCTTTTTCTACCTGATGAATACTCGGGTTGCTCGATCCTGCTCCCTATCCCATGTGCTTGTACTGAGATCTGTCCCGAGGAATCTGCACTTGGCTGGCTGTCAGCTTGAGGTGGATGTGGTAAATGCCAAGGGTGATCACGATCACCAAGCCCAGGATCAGGCCCAGAATCAGAGGCAGGGTTTCTTCCAACTGCTCCCTCTGGTCCACTGGGCACTTGTGTTCTGCAGGGAAAGGGAAAAAAGGAAAAGAGAGCCATGAATGAGACCCTGCAAATCTGAACTGCTGCAGTGGCCAACTGATCTCCTCGGAGTCACAGCTCCATGAGAGAGCCCCTGCACAGCAAAACCAGCTGCAGCAGCAAGGAGAGACAGTGACAGAACCATCGCTGGAGCCCCAGGGAGAAAATCAATTGCTTTGGAGGAAAGTGAAATCACAGTCAACAAAGAGAGGGAGGCAGAGGTAACATCTATCAAACCAGCCACACAGTGTAAAAAAAACACTTTTATGCCCATAAGCTCCTGTTCAGACCTCTCTGCCACACATCAATGGCCTTGCTGGGAATGGGACAGCAAGAGTATGTGTCTCCTGACTGTGGCTGAAGATTTGCTTTGTTTATTTAATTGTAGAGTCTATAAATATGATATCATGAGGCCTCAACGTCACTCAGACTTTAATCGTGCATCAGACTTTCCCTGCACATCATTCAGAGATTTCCCCCCCCATCTGCAAGGTGGCAGAGGTTTAAGAGCATCGCTCTCCCCTTTCCATGTGCTCCCCACAGGGAGTTCACCAGCCTGGCAGAACAACACGTGTGTCTGTGGTCAAACAGCATCCTGGCACCCCATGTTGTTCACCAAATACGGCAAAGGATGAGCAGAAACAGCACCAGCCCCCCAGTGTTCTTCCCTCTGCTGATGAGTCTCTGCCATGGTCTGATAAACCTCTAGAAAATATTAATAACCACAGCTACAAGGCAAAAACACTTTTCTATTGCGCTTGTAAAGGCCACCAAGGTCAGGAAACACATTACACTGGCAATCCCAGTTCAGTTCCTTACACTTCCAGAGTCTGCTGCAGGCCTGACTGACTATACTTTTTTCCCCACAGGATTGCTGCTTCTCCATGCTGATGGACAGGCAGAGCCCACACTGCTGAGGTAGGGCTGCCAGGACAGAAAGAACAAAAATTCTAACTCTGAGGGAAAAAAAAAAAAGGTTATGTGGTACAAGAGGGCCAGTTCTCTGGCCCCCGGATCATCTTCATAGTATTAGGAATGTGCTGAAAACAATGAAAACTTTAGGGAAAAAAAAAATGGAAAAACAAAAAGACTGAGTGTCAGATGAGCAAATACGAAGGGCACCACGAATTCCTGCCCTCACTAAAGACTGTCCAGATGGGTTCCCCAGGCAGCTCACTGCAGGACACCGGGATCTGCAATAACCACGAAGAGCAAATGCTCTGCAAATCTAATGTCATGTGTTAAAGAGCAGGAAAAACCCAGAGACACCCCCCCTCAGGCCCAGGCAGGAGGTGACAGCAGGGACCTGTCTCCAGCAGTGCCAGCACCTCCAGGAGCTCCGGTGCGTCCTGGAGCGGAGCCTCCTCCCAGCACCAGGCTCACAGCGGTGCCACCAGGAAACGTTTCAAGCTGTAAATGGAGTGAAACAAAAAAAAAAAAGCAAAAGTGAAATGTAGTCTAACAAAAAAAATGTCCTTTTCGGTTCCAGTTGCTCACAGTTTCACCAGAGGAGTGATTAATCACCAGGACTGTGGTACAGGCGATTCAGCAGTTGCTGCAATGCAGGGGTTTTGTTTGTTTGTAGTAAGGAGAATGGAGGGGGGGGGAAATCCTTATTATTATTATTTAGCTCCCAAAGTTGGGTTTCTAGTGCTTTATGAAATTCTTCCCAGTTTAGGATGCTAAGGCCTGACCAAACTCACAGAGACACACCAGCAGGCTGAGCTGACTGCAGGAAAAGCCACACACGGGGCAGAGCTGCGGGGCCAGGGGTGCTCCAAGCCCACAGCCCCGCTGCCCACGTGCGGATACAAAGCAACACCATGGGAAAAATCCATGCTAGAGGAGTTCCTGTGTACCCACCTACAGTCAGCCTGACAGGCCAGGGTGTGCTGAGGTGCCAGTTAGCAGGAGTTCACAGCAGCTGGACTCTGATTTTTGCTTTGAAAGTGGTTTAGCTTAAACCCTACGGAAAATGGAAAGCAGCCTGCTGTAAACCCAACTGAGGGCATTCCACTCGGCTCAAACACACCAGGTTTGCTTGTGCACCTTTCCCTACATGAGGGTGATGCTGCATTTGCAGGAGAATGGGGTGAATGTGAGGGTCTGCAGCCAGTGAAGAAGGCAAAGCACCACTGCTGCGATGCAGAGAATGGACCCAACTGCAAAGCACCTGCTCGTAACATTTGAATTCCCCCAGCTTTTGCCAAAGCAAACTGGCTGCAGAGCACAAAATGTGCCAGAGGATGTGGCCAGAGCTCTGGTGCCCACAGGAAGCCACGGCTGTATTTAAGTGTCTGAGTCACAACTCAAAAAGGTGTCAACTCTTGCAAGCAGCCAAGGAAGATAGTTCTTTATCCTGACACTTTTTTAAGAGGATTAAAAAAAAAAAAAAAAAAAGAAAAGAAAAAGCAAAGCAAAGCAAAGCTGGCAGTCTCCAGCAGCTCACCCCCAAACATGCTGCTCCCCAGCTGGACCCACTGCACCACCCCGGGCAGAGCAGGCAGCCTTGCACACCAGCTGCCTCCTGCCTTCCCAGCACCTTCTCCTCCCCACACATATCCATCTTCTCCTTTTGGAGCAGACCACCAGGCATCCCTTTTGGGCTCTTTGGAGACTGTGGGGAGAACAGGAATGGGGCTGGGGGCCACCAAGCACAGAGGTACTGGCAAGTGCTCAGCACAAACACACCAGCAGCAGGACTCAGGCTCTCCAGGTGCTGAATGCTAGGAGAATGAATTTTGTATTTTAACACGAGTATAATGTTAAAACGCGCCATTTTGCAACAAACAAAAACATTTTCACGTTTGTAACAACGTACTTCAACATTTATACAGCATTTTTCACCCCATAGGCACTGAGGTGCACAACACTGCGGGGAGACAGGCAGAAGGTATCATTCCTGGTCCATCAGCCAAGGAAAAGGCAAAGAGGGAGCAGGAGGGGAGAAGGGTTTGCATGAAGTTCATGGCAGACACAGACTCAGACATTCAACCCCACCAAGCACAGTGTGGGCAGGTGGGCTGGTTATGCACAACAAATGAAACACCACTGCATTGGGAACTGCTACCTGTTTTTAAATCAATGATCCTGCAGGAGAACGGCCCTTTCTGGTAAATTTTCACCCATCTCAAAATTTCCCAAACTGATGGGACCTACCCTCAGTCCAGGAAAGCAAAACGGTCCCTGGCAAATTTAATTCCCTTAAAAGTTGGGGTAAGGCTGGAGTTCTGTCGCATCCCAAACACAGCAGGGCCGCCCCTTTTTCCCCAAGAGGTGCCACCCCACAGTCCCTGGTCCCTGCCCCACGGAGCACGGGCTGCAGACGGATACAAAGGAGGCGTTTAGGTACGTTGCCCATTGTTCTCTTGTGCTGCAGCACCAGGCTCACACACTGCCGCCGTTTCTATGGTGAGTGCTCGTCCAATTTCTGTACTAGGGCTACGAAATCACCTCACAGGCCCATTTTCTTGTTTCAGATCCTTCTGCAGAGCAAACGGCGGCAACAAACACACGGCGCCTTCCCGGCAGCCGCAAATGCCAGCCTGAGGATTGGCACGGGGATTTGTCCAAAGGGATGGAAAAAATGGGCCAGTTATGTATGGGCATGACAAGATTGATTTTTGAGGTGGGTGTTTATAAATAATTAGATTTAAAAAAAAAAAAAAGAAAAGAAAAAAATAGAAAGATCAGGTGCTTTTTTAAATGTGGCTGCACACCTTGGTGCCAAGGACCCTCGGGAAAATGTGGCCCTCAACTGGGGTGGCTCAGAGGGAGTTGAGACCGAGTTGAGACCTCCCAGGATCCCAGTCTCTAATTTTAAGTCTTTGTATTTTCCACCATAATGCATTACATTTGCACGTATAGATATAAAAATCAAAAGAGATGGCAATTTCTCTGGGGTTCTTTCATCAGTTTATATGTTCTCCTCGCACCCTCTTGATCCAGCTCATCTTTTTTACTCATCTTTAAAGCTGAAAATATATACACATTTTCCCCATTAAAAAAAAAATTATCAAGCTCTGAATGAAAAAAAATGTTCTGCTGCTTCTGTATTGAAAAACATAAAATAAATATATATATATATATATTTGGATTTGTGAAGGTTGGAAGTGATGTCTTTAAAAAAAAAAGAAAAATGATACTTTAGCACATGAGTTTAAGCATTCAAAAAAATAAACGCAATCCAATAAATCCCTACAAGCTTTTTAATCTATCCCTGGCAGAACAGTGTCAGGACTAATGAAAAAAAACCTTTCCCCCAGTCCTTTGTGGTGAAAGGGTCCTGACCCTCCTGCGTCTCGGTGATTCTTCTGCTCTAGCGGGTCTCTTTCCCTATTCTAAAATATTTTAAAGTGTTCTGTAGCTTGTTCATAATTAATAGGAATTTTACCTAATGGGAAATTAATGAACCAAAAAGGAGAAGGCTAATTACTGTAATTTAAGATTGGCAGTGGCTCTCAGACCCCACAAAGGATCGTGTTTTGCCATGCGTGTGCCGCGGACAAGCTCGTCGGCGCAGCTGGTGGGGACTGTGTGAAGCTTCACTGATAAATGACCTCTCAGGCACTTCTGACCACCCTGTCCAGGTGCTCTCTCTGCTATTTAACTTCCAGTGGAATTCGACAAAAAGAAAGGTAATTGAATAAGAAGAGCAGCAACAACAAAAAAACCCGAAGCCTGACAAAGAGAGAAGCTGCGCTTTCCTCCTCCGGAGGAATTGCCCACACAGGTTTAAAGATTGCTAAACCAACCAGGGTCTCTTTGTGTCCTGGAGAAAAACTACAACAAAGGAAAAAAAAGAGAAAGCAACAAATTTACTGCCTGACAGGAAAGAGCATATCATGAAAATGGCAGGTAGATTCCTTTGGCAATGAGCCCTGAGTTCTGTTGTTTTAGCTGGGAGCTCTCTGACTTCTCTAGTTTGGTATCACAGAGACACAGCAGCTCGAACAGAGTCCAAACCTGCATATTTTAAATATGCTTTTCTCAGCCTCCAGCGCCTGCCCACATGTAAAACCTACTCCATACTACACTGGCCCTGCCATGAGTAATCCAGCCACGCAGAGCTCTGCCAGAGCCAGCACACGTAACAGCACGGATTTACTCCATCGGTGAGAGGAGGCGAGTCATTGAGTGCAAGTGCTCGGCTCTACAGTCACTGCTGGGTTTTTATTGTGTGCTAATGTATTTCCCACATGCAAAATAATGAAGCCCCACGTTTTTAATGCTGGGCTTGAAAATAACACCACCATTTCCTAGCTCGTTATTAAAAGATTTGGCTATTACATATTTTATTTGCATCTTGTTACGCTAACAGACTTAACTAATTTGATAAGATAGTGCTATAAAATGGGGACTAGTCTCACCTAATTCAGGTAAGCATGTTTGCCTTCCCTCATTCAACCTGATGGAAAAGCCAAGGGGGAGTCAGGGAGCAGGAGCACCATGGGTTCCTCAGGATAAAGGCAGGCAAAACTGCAGGAATTCTGCCCCATGGCAGTATTGCTGCTGGCTCCAGTACAACCCTTTGATATAAACAGCACGCCTTAACTTACATTTTCTTTTATCCACCATTACCATTAGAGAAACCCAAGAAGAGCAATGACATCCCTTGTGTTTGGCACATGAGGCGCCTCACCGAAGTCCCTGCTACGCTTCCTTCACCCTCACAATGACCATAAATCAAACTGAAGCCAGCAACATGCATCCCAAGTATCTCCTGCCACCACAGCCCCAGGTTTTCCCTCAGTGTGCAGTAGCCCTAAAAAACCCCTGGAGCTGTGCTGAAGCAGCTTCTGTGCTGCAGGGGAGACACCTAAGCCTTGCAGGACTTCCCAGGGACCAGCTTGCTGGCAACCTGCTCTACAAGTCCTCACAGAAGCCAACGTACATGCAACGACAGGCCATGATTTAGCAGCTAGGCTGAATTTGTAAAGGTTTTTGGAGGGCCACAGAGGCAGGGAATGGGTTGGAGGGACTGCAGGGAGCACTGATAAGGGAGCTGGAGTGAGAGGATGGTGCTCTGGTAAAGGTGAGACGCAAATTCCTTCAGTACATCACAACATCCCCAAAGGCCACGGTGGCATCAGCATCTTGGGGACGCAGGACTTGCCTTCACCCTGCCTTCACCTTACCTTCACTGAAGACAAAATCCGCGGGGATGTCGAAGGGCTGGAGCCGCACTTCCGACAGCAGGAGCTGCACCGACTTCTGGTGGTCGCTGGAGATGAGGGAGATGGTCTGCTGGGCCTGGCACTCGTAGGACTTCCCAGCAGGGGTGACCAGGGCCGAGAGCCGGTGCGAGCTGGCCGTGTGCTTCCCGGCTGGCCAAGGGACACAAACAGAGGTCAGGTCCCATCTCCGGGGGCCCGAGGTGACTTTAGTGACAAAGGCAATGGACCGAGCACGCGGGAGCGCAGCCGGTGCGCAATGCGGCGCCCGCGCGCTCTGCTACTCCCACAGCACCGCCGCCTGCGCTCCTGTCGCAGGACCTGGGGCCCGTGGAGCTGGAGGAATGGTTTCTATTGACACACGTGCAAGTTTTAGCCTGGGACTGTGCTCGTACTCCCCACATTTGGGAAGCGGCAATTCCTGCGGCCGCACTTGAGCTCGGAATTCAGGTGAGAAGGAGCGATGCAATTTGGGGACCACGCTACAAAGCAAAACAGGCCATAATGCCTTTCCTGAAACTACAACGTGATCATCTCACCCAAGCATAAGTTACAATAAAATATTTTCCCATCAAGCTCGTTTCACAAACGAAGGCTGAATGCAGCTCGGCAAGGTGGAATGAGGGATGCCTTCCACCTCCTGCTCTTCTGCAGCCCTTTGTTCCCCTCCAGCAGCACAGAAAAGCAATCAGTGTTTCACACTGGCAGAAGCTGATGAGGCATGGCCACCACCGTGTTTTGGGGACTCAAACAGTAGAAACACCAGTGGGAAAACAGCCCCATATCTACTGTATCTTACAGCACAAACTCTTAGCCTGCTATTCACTGGAGTTTGAAAATCCTGAGGAAGAATGATTTGCAGATGACAGTATTTCAGTTTTTGATACAAGACAACTAATTTCTGAGCAGAAATTAAATAAAAACAAAATGAAAGCCAAAAGAACGGAAACCCAGCGAGAAAAGAGGAGGCTGCTGGGTGCAGAGGTGTGTAGGAGTATGATACTGATGTCAATCTCATAGTTATCCTGGGAAAGCGCTGCCTTCCCACCTATTCAACCATCATCAGAAGTGAGGAAATAATTAACCTTAAAAACCATCTCCCAGAGGAGAGGAGACAAGCTTTTTCAGCCCAGGTGGCCCCCTGCCCACCCCCTCGGGCCCTGGGTCCCGCCGGAGAGCCTGGGGCAGCGCAGCACACGGGCAGAGCTGGGCTCTCCTCCCACGGCAACCGCGGTCATTAAACACAATAAAAAAGGGGAGGGGGGACACAAAAAATATAGTTCGCCGTTTAAACCCGGCAGTTAGTCCCGGCTTTGTCGGGCGGGTACAGGTCTTCCCCATTAAACTGTGCTTAGGCGAGTAGCCCGCGGGGTGCCCGCCAGACCCCCGGGATCCGCCTTAAACCCCGTCCCCCGGGCGCTTACGGCTCACGGCGTCCTTGAAGTAGGTGCGCTCGGAGGTGTCGTAGGTGAACTGGATCCGGCTGAGCCTCCAGAACGCCTCCGGCCCCCGGGACGTGTTGTGCCCCTCCTGCCGAGACAGGGCTGGTCAGGACCCCGCAACGCCGGCGCGCCCCCTCCCCAGCTCCCGGGCGTGCGGGGGAGCCCGTACCTTCAGGAAGAAGAGTTTGAGGGTGTACGCTTGCTCCAGCCAGGAGAGTTCCAGCTCCGACTCGTTAGTGCCACACTTGCCCTTCATCTCGGCGCCCCGTGACAGCGGGATATCGGCTTGCTCCGTAATCAGCTGGAAACGGGGAGCGGGGGCTCAGGGGGACGGCCCCGGGGCTCCTCCGGGAACCCACGACCCCCCCACTGCCCCGGCTGCAAATCCTCGGAGGGGACACAGGACTTTCCCGAAGTACCGGCGGATGTGTGTGTGTGTCCCGTGCCATCCCCGGTCCTGCCGGAGCCCCGGGAGCCCCCGGGCCGCCCCGCCGCCCCCGGCCCCGACTCACATCCACGTAGTTGCTGGCCCACACGTCGTAGGGGACGATGAACTTGGCGGCGAATTCGGCCATGAGACACGTCGTCCTGTTTTCCCGCACCACGAAGATGTCCTTCTCGGGGTTAGGGGAGAGCCCGGAGAGGTTTTCAACTTCTTGCTCGGCGGCCAGGCGAGCCGCGGCGTCTGCGGGCACAGAGGGGCTGAGCCCGGCAGCGATGGGCCCCTCGCCCCAAGCCTCTGCAGGCTCACCTGAACACCCCCGGCACCCCCGAGCCCGATGGAGTGAGCTCCTCTATCGCGACGGGGCGCCCCTGTCGCGACAGAGCAGGTAGCGGAGATGGGGCAGCCGGTGGCGGTGGTGCTCGAACCACCGAGACCGGTGCTCGAACAGCGCCGGGTCTGTCTCAGCGCCAGAGGCTGCCCCATCGCGACAGGGCTCCCTGTCGCGACTCGCCGCCGCGGTACTCACGCAAGAGGAGAAGCAGCCCCGGGAGGCGCCCCCCGGCCATCCTCCCTGCTCGGTCCCGGCGTGGCCGCGGCTGCTGCAGCTGCTCCTCCCAAAGGGTCCGCTCCGGAGAAAAGAAAAAAAGAATTAAAAATAAAAAGGAGGAAGGGAAAAAAAAAAAAAAAGCTGCACACCTCCTTTCTCAGGAGCCGCACAGGCTGCAAAAGCACTCTGCTGCGGAGTGGCGGGGAGGAGGGACGGGGAAAGTGTGTGGGTGTGCGGGGAGGAGGAGGAGGAGGGGAGATGCCGGCGGAGCTGATGGAGGCGCCCACGCCAAGGGACGGGGCGTACGCACGGCCGGGCGGGGAGGAGGGATTCCCACCCTCCGGCGGTGGGGACCCCGCGGAGGGGCTGCCGGGGATCCCCGCGGGGACCTGGGGCCGCCTCGACGTGCGGCTGGAGCGGAGCGGGGCTGACCCCCAGCGCCTCCCGCTCCCCCGGGCAGGGCCGGCGGTGGGAGTGGGGCCGAATCCCCCCCACCCCAGGGCCCTGCCGCCGGTCCCCGTCGGAGAGGCCGACGGGGCAGGGGGGATGGAGGAGGGGATATCTGGTCCAGCCGGCTGCTCACGGAGCGTCACTAATTTCGGTGAAGCCGAACAGCTGCTTCGCGTGTTAATTTAGAAGGAAACGTGCAGCTATTTTTGTGTGGCAAGGTCAGGAGCAATCCCGCAGCCTTTTGTGAGCGGCCACCGACACACCTGAGCTCTAAGATGTCGCGACAAACCATAACACCTACTGTAACATAAAACATACAATCACGTAGGTCCCGACAGCCCCGAGAAAGGTGCATTAGAACAAAAACCAAGACCGGCGGGGCGTCTTGGGGGAGCAGGGAGGACGTGACACCCGGCGTGCGCCTCAGATGGGGGGACAGTGCCGGCTGTGCCGGGGCTCACAGGGGTTTGTCCCTGCCCGGCGCTGAGGGGAGAAGGGGCTGTGAGGTGGGGTGATAAGAGCGCACCCCCTCCCCGAGCAGGGAGAGCTGCCCGCCCCCCGCCCCGGGTGTGCGGTGCTGTTGGGGCCTCTCAATTGCTCGTCAAACAGAGCCTGCCTTCCCTCCCTCCGAGCCCGGGGGCAGGGGCTGGGCCGGACCCCCGGGCTGTCGGCAGAGGGGTCTGCGGGGGCAGAAGGCGCGTTGCCAGCCCCGGTGAGCTGCTGGTCTCCCCCGGGGGTGCGAGGCGGTGGCTGGAGGCCGCTCTGGGGCTTCCCCGCTCTTCCTTTCACCGGGTGATGCGACGGTGAAATATTTCCCCCCGCCCCCGTCTCTCATCAGGAGCTTTTTTTGGAGCTTTAACGCGCTGCCACCCTCGCCCCGGGACCAGGAGCACATCCGATTACTTACAATTTACAGCGACACCGGTCCCAGGAGCAGCAAACCCTACGCCGAGGATGTTTTGGGTTTTTTTTAGGTTAAAAGCCAAAGGGACAGCAGCTATTCGGAGTCTGTGGAGGATTCACCAGTTCGCATTTCTAGTTCAGGAAAAGGCGTCTGAAGGAAACGGTCCAGGGTTTTGAGAAGCAAGGGACTGCAAGGTGAGTTTTGATTGTGGGCAGCTGCCCTTTCTCTGCCAGGGCACACACCTGCAGATAGGGGCTTTCTTGCTGGGAAATAGCTCTTCAAAAATAAAAGCAGGTACTGAAGGAACATATTGATTTTTGTAACTGTAACGTTGAAATTCCTTTCCTGCTTGCTGTACGTATTAAATATATTCTGACCATTTCCTCTCTCTCCTGTTTCATGATAAAGAGTCAATCCTGCCCCCTGCCCCAACAGAGTCAGACCTGTGTTGGTTGTAAAACAGGATTAACCTACAGATAATAAGTTCAAGGGACTGTAGAAAGGAAAAAATATAATCTTATATACAAGTCTCTTTGACTGTAACAAACTATATTTCTGTGGCAATTGTAGTGCCTGGCTTCCTCAGTTCCTCCACTGATGACCCCAGTATTTAACTACCTTCTATTTCCTCCTCTAGTCCCCTATTTAATTTCCAGACTTATTGAGGTTTCTAGGTAGCTTCTAAGCCTCCAGATGCACGATTCTGAGCAGCTGCCCCTGCATCCAGCCTGTGTAGGACGGTACCTCAGGGAGCAGCTGGGAGAGAGCAGCTGTGCTGGAGGCACAGGCAAGCCTGACCCGCGGCACGGCACCGCGGCTCTCCCAGCACCCGCCAGCTGCACGGCACAACAAAAAACCCTTCAGCTCCAGGGACAATCGCCACTTCCAGCCTGCAGAGACACGTTTAGCCTGTTCTCCGCGGCAAAATAAGGAAAGGCCTGAGATTTCCTAAAACCAAGTAAGCCCCAAAACATGGTCAGAGCAGAAAGGTCTCACCTGAGGGAGCCAGTGCAGCATTACCTGCCCTGAAATGTTGTGATCTGCACCAATCTACGGTCACAGACTGGATCACATGGAACTAGACCCCCAACTTGCCCTTCCACAGGCAGTCTCCACAGCTGGGGGTGTCTCTGAAGGCTGAATCCCCCTTGCTACCCCCCAACTACCAGGCAGCAATAACTCTTACCAGCCTCCTCGGGAGGAGCACGCAGCACGGTGACAGCGGGGCCGCAGCCCTGGAACAACTGCTGGCACATCCAGCAGGAACAGGGTTTTCTGACCGACTGGCTCCTCTGGGATGTCTCTGCCACTTGCAGCCGGTTTCACAGGCAGCCCGTGGGCAACAGCATGCGGAGTCTACAAGGAAACCAGCCCCCGAGGGGTATTTTGGGTCTTGCAGTCTAACTGTACTCAGGCGGTGCAGGTGTTAAACAGACCTCCAGTTAAGTTAATGACCAACCCCCGAATTACAGGAGGTGAAAGAATAGCAGGCTGCCTGTGAGGCCAGGGTGTCACGACCCTCCCCATCACAGCTGAGCTGAATTTATCTCAAGAGATTCAGAGAGGGAGAATCTGCCACTTCCCTCGATGAAATTTCACTGAAGTGGAATCCATCACCCCGGCAGGGAATGACATTTTAAACTGCTTTAACTCGGTATCAATGTTCAAATTGATTAGCCTATTTCATCTCAATGGAAATTCTCACCTCATTACATTAGCGGCCAAACTTCAAATAATTTTTGAATCAAATACTACTTAAACAGTATTTCAAAATACTTAGCTGACAAAATTCATCACTTAATTTCAAATTACTGCCTGCATTTTATGCTAAATTGTCAACGGATAAAATAGGCATCAGTGCTGGGAGCTGAGGTTTCCTGCTCTGCAGTTTCACAGAAGCCCATTTTCTCTCTGACTTGACAAATGCCTGGCTCCTGGCTGAGCAGTGAGCACAGACTCAAACGGGGGCTATTTTCTAGCCTTCCAAAACCCCTGTTTCCCCCTGATGGATAGGACACTTGCCAGGGAAGTAAGACAGGCAGGTTTGTTTTTTTTTCAGAGAGGGATGTGAGCCGAACCCAAGCCCTTAATTTCTAGTTATTTCTTTAATAGGTAGGGCAGTGTTTTCCAGCCAGGTTGTAAGTGAGCCTAAGATGCTTCACCATCCAAGTTCCCTCTATATCTGGTCTGTTATTTGCTTCTCTTTACTGGCTAGAAACCACTGTGGTAGGCAATGGTATAAAATTCCAGCTCTCAGCACTGTCTCCACCAGGTGTGTTTTAGAAGACATTTTTAATTAAAAGAAAAACCATAATAAAAAAAATGCCTTGTTTGAGATGCCAGATCCTGTCCAGTGTGGTCTGAAAACACTGCTGCTCCCAGCTCCATCCAGCACTTGAGACTGGCTTAGGGAGCAGGGAGAGCTGCTCCCAGCACACAGCTTGTCTTTTAAAACATTATAAGGAGCAGGAGACACCTCTGTAGGTTGTGGGATCTGAGTGGGAATTCTGAATACACATCACAAGTTTGCTTAAACCCTGCTTTAAACACCTCAAGACTCACTGACCTCTGCCTCAGTTGCATTCTCAAAGCTGTGCTGCTACACTGGACTCAGGCTGCTGCATCTCCAGGCAGTGCTGCTACACTGTACTGGGGTAGACCTCTAGTGCTGCCAGGACCAATGCTGCACAATGCTTCTATCACTTAAATAAAATTAAAAAAAAAAAAAAAAAGACTCCTTTGACTAAATAAGCTGTGATAGAAATATATTTACACTATGCACATTTTTACAGGAAATACAACTTGCTAAAAATTTGCAGTTAATAATACCACCGCCCTGCAATTCACTGCAGTCAAAACTAAAGGATTTGAATTTTTAAGCTTTTTATTAGAGAAGTTGAAAGTTTCATCTCAGGACTGACAATAACATAATTATCTCTTTTCATTTATTTTGTTTATAGGAATATGTAGAATTTGTTTGTACAAGCATATACAACAAAGTAATTGGTGCTTAGTACATTGAAATCAGGAATCTGATTTGTTCTAAACTACCAGTTTTCCATGCAGTCATCTTTGAATTGGCAGCATGGACAAATTCCAAGCGGAATGCTTACATGCATTGTTTTGCAATATAACTACAGCAAGCTCTGGAAACATGCAAATTAACACATTAGCAAATTGGTTTTTATATCTAATGGACATAAAAAGGTTATTCCTGATATGAAATTCTGAAAATCTGCATAAATACTTCTGTGTAAAATTAAATTAGTTATGTACTTTTCTTTTACTACAAGTATCAAGAATGCCCACGTAATTAATATACACACATATATATAGAGACCTTGTAATGCTAAAAGTCTTTGTAATTAATCAAACAATATTCTGTGCCATACATTTACTCAGTATTTACCAGCTAGTAGCATGACTGTGGTCATATAGTAGGCATTACAGTCTTAGTAGCATTTGTATCACATGCAAACATACTCTTAGCATTTCTGTTTACTAATTTTTATCACGTGGCAACATGTATGTGATTTTCTACAATGTTGTAATTCCCAAGTGTATAAATACTTTTTACATTTTCACAGTTACAAACTTTTTGCCAAAAGCCATTTAAACAATCTTTTAAGTTACAATGAACTGTAATATCTGGGATCTACAGCAACAGGATCAAAATGCAATTTCTATACAAGCAATGTAGGATGTAAACTTTTCTTAAAGTGCCTAAAATGTAATTCCTTAGAGCACTGATCAGTTTTGGCACAAATACACTGTATTTCCCTCAGGTTATTCATTGCAGTAACTTTTACAGGATATGGGCTCCTCTCAGACATTATGACAGAGTTGATATGGCACTTGTGAATGACATCATTAGGCTGCAGAAATATCCTGTCAAGTTACTGTTGCAGCTGATGAATTTGGCTGATGACTTTGTACATATTGTACTTCTGAATACACGCAGTTACCTTCCAATTGCCTGCTGCCTGGAAAATACCTCGGAATATAATTTATAATCACCCAAACTCAGCTCCTTGCTATCCTGATTATTAGGGTGACTGGGCATAAGATCCAGTTCAGTGGGCTCGATGACATGAGGTGCTGAGCATCTGGCGAGTTGTTGCTTGTCGGGATCTGGCAGCAGGGGGGTTTCTACACAAGGTATCACACATGAGAACAGAAATGGTAAATAACATGACTCGACTACAGTTTTTTTGTTGCCATTTGAGATGATGTTAAAAGTATCTGTTGTGTTTCGAGGCTCTGATTGTGTAATTCTGGTGCAGGCAAGCTGCCTGTTGAGGACACAGGAAGGAACACAGGGACGGGGTTTAAAAAACCGTCTTCATCTTCGGGTTGGGGTTTTTCTGAACAAAGGAGATTCTTACAGAAATCCAACAAAGGAAATTCAGTGCCCAGTGTTAAAAAAAAGAAATAATGCAAACCTTAAGACTTGGTGGTCCGTAGCTACACTTTACATATTAAAAACAAAAAACCAAAACAAACCCCTTTTAAAAACAAAACAAAAGAAACAAAACAAAAAAAAAAAAAAGGAAAAAGCCCACTTTTCAACCTCAGCAACGTTATTTTGAATTTTGCTCTCATCTTAAAAGGATGCTGTGTTCTCCAACTTCAATTTGCTTGTTGAGGCTTCAGACCACTGTTGCTGGCCTGCGATCCATCTCTGCTTCCAGCTTCACCATCTGCTGCATCTCCTTTGCCTGCAATCCAAAATAACCGCATGAAGCGTCGCATTAGACCTTTTGTTCAGAACGAAGCACACGTTCTACATGACAGTGTCTGAGAGAAATACAGGCAAAACACACTGAGATATATATATATATATATAATAACATTATTTTTACACCCCTCAGCCTCCCCCGTGTCATTCTCTTTTCAAAATCAGGTGTAATCCTTATATCTACAAATTCATGGGGAATATTTTTGATCCTATTCCAGGACTCATGGGTTGACTTTCTACAGTGTGTGGTAAAATGCAGAAGCCCCAGCACTGGGGAACAATGCCAGGCAGATGCCAATTTGACTGTTTCTCCTGACAGGACATGTCTTTGGGAATGTATTCTTTACTGCTGTTCTATGAGTACTCTGATGTGTTAATTTCTGAAATTCTTAGAGACTTCATCTATGATCTGGACTTACTTCTTTCATAAAGGCAAGGAATGACTAAAATCCATCAGTGTAACATATTCCTTGCAGTAGGCAAGATTTTTTTGAACAGTAATTTTTTAAGTATTAATTTTTTAAAAAATAATCTCCATCTGGCCTGGAGATCCTTAAGATTACAGAGGGGGTGTTTTTCACCTCAGGATTAGACTACTGCTATATGCTTCATGGGATTACACACACTGAATCCACCTGAAACTGTATCCAAATGCATTATGCAAAATACAGTAATGAATATATGCCAGATCTGGCTATAAACTCTGTGTGCCTGAGGCTTTGCAGGCAGAGTTAAAGTACTGTGTATAAATGGTAACTGGCCTGGGAATTCCCTCTTAGAGGGCGTTTTTTAATTCCTTTCCCTCCATCTCTCAGACACACACAGAGGCACAATTTCTCCTCCTGTTACAGTGTTTTGTTTGAAACTGGAGTTTAAAGGAACTGGGAGTCAGCATCTTCATTTTCCCTGAGGCCTCTGAATCTGGGAAGTTATTTAAATCCATAACTCCAAGGACCCTGAATAAATTGACCCAGAGAGCAATCTAACCCACCTATCTTTACAATCAAACTCCTGAGCATTAGGACAAGTTTAGGAAGAGACAACCCAAGCTAACATTTTCTTTGTTGTAACTGCTCCGCATCTGTCACGCAGGAAATAATGGTTAAGGGACTTGACTTACATAAACTCTATTCCAAAAAAAGGTGTAAATGTTGCTTAGACAGGCAACTTTGCTACACAGGCTCCTACTTATGGAGTCACCTATTCTGTATGTGCAAACACATATTTGCATGTGTGAAAATGGGCAGATGCAGGTCTAAAGTAATGAGATGCACCACTCTTCCTTTTGCAAGGTAAATGTGGATTTATGCAGATGTGACATACCTGCCTTCTTGAAAAATCTAGCCCTGTCCTTTCTTAATCATCATCATCATCATCATCATCATCTTAGGGAAAAAAGTAATTATGATAACAGCAAAGCAACTGTCATAAATATGATTAAAAATTAATTGACGCTCTCCATTTAAATGACTTAAAAGTTTGAAAGTAATGAAGAAATAATTTTAACATGAAAATATGGAAACATAACAAATAAATCAGTATGGACAACCTCTTCTGAAATGTTGGCTGGATTTTGCCTGTGTGTGAAATGAAACTCCAGATGAAACAAAACCTTGTGGTTGTTTCTTAGTGACTCACACATTTCACGTTTTAGGCTTGTGACTTAACTACTGGCACACAGCGTCCTATAAATATATTCTGCCAATGTATTGTGTACAGAACTGTTGCAGAGAGAACCTGGCTTCAAAGAACACATTAGCATATAGCACAGGACCAGGGTGCCTGGTTTTGCCAGTCTGAGCCTGGTTCAGACAGTGCATTCCGACCTGAACACTCGAGCACAACACTGGAAGATGAGCCTTCTGGAAGGCAGCACTGAACCCACAGTGAGCCCAGGAAGTGAGGGACAGCCAGTGGACTCCGCTTTCAAGAATAAAAATAATTTTCTCCTAGCCTAATGAATGCTTTTTTTCATCGTTATGTGTCTATAAATAGATGTTGCTGAAGTGGGTGCTGTCAGTGGTGCAAGATGTTATCAATTCAAGAGACTAATTCAGAGGAGGCAGTACTGTAACCATGGGATGTTCAAGCCCAGTGCAGCTCTTTCCCTTGGTAAGACAGGGGTTAACAGAGATTTCTTGTGAGTAAGGATTACTTAGGGAGCCACAGCAGCACAGCCACATCACAACTGGAATTGCCATACCTTTGTTGGAATTTGAAGTGAATTTTAAAGTGCTGGAAGCCTCTCTTCCTTAGGCACTAGGAAGCTATTTCTAGCCATCTATTCTATATTTTGCTATTCTTAGCGTGGAATTAAACTTATTTTTATTACTATGCTAATATATGTGGGTACCCTTTGTCTGACTATCAGCATTAGCAGGTAATCATACGTATGTTAACACTAAAATAGTTTTCTTAGATCAACAGACACTCTCACACAGTTCAGAACTCTAAGCAGATCTTTCAGTAACAGCAGCTAATGTACAAGTTAATCTCTGAATATTTCCTCTGCACATCCCTGTTCATATGCATCTGAATTTGAGATGCTAAAGCACAAAATACTGTTAATATTGTGTCAGGCTCAAATATCTGTGTGCAAACAAGATTAACATTGTGTCCACTATGTCAATGGCACTTCCCAATGGTTGCATTTACAAGGAGGGCTCCAATGATAATGATTTAATTTAGAAGGAAAGCACACTGAAATAATAGTTTGCTTATTATACATCCATCCTACCTTGTGTTTGAGAGACTGCATGACAGGATTTCAAAAGCTGTTTGTACAAAAATAATAATGTCAAAATTGAGTAATACAACAAGAAGCAAATTAAATGAATGAAAACTGAAGTGAGATTGAGAAATTAATGCAAGAAAAACATACACAAAACAAAACAAATTTAAATTCACAACAGTTTATATTGAAGGCTGTTTCCACCCATAATTCTATTTTT